TGTAGACGTCAATCTGCGTGGTTGATCGGGTACGCAGGACATCAAAGAGAGCTGACGAGCGACCTCAGCGCGGATGAACTCTTGGATCTTGGAGAGAAGAGGGGCATGGTCTTCTCCTATGCCAAGGGTGGACAGGCTGGACAAAGAGTTGTCGAGCACCGAGGGACGTTGGGTGGAAAGACGTTGCCTGCGCAACTCGTCAAAACTTTGGCATAACTCGGTCAGTTCTAGGACAGTGCAAGGACTCTTAGAAAGCAACATTTGGAAAGCGTCGTCCTCAATGCCCTTCATGATATGCTTGATCTTAAGCTCTTCGGACATGGACTCGTTGACTCGCTTGCAAAGGTCCAGAACGTCCTCAATATAGCTTGTGAAATTCTCACCAAGCTGCTGGGACCGAGTATGTAAGCGTTGTTCGGCACGGCGTTTGCGTACCTCAGGCCGCCCAAAAACTTGTGTGAGGCTCGTTTTGAAGACCGACCATGTAGGGAGTTCCGCTTCGTGGTTTATAAACCACAGCTTGGCCACGTCCGACAGGTAGAAGGAGACGTAGGCCAACTTGGCGGCGTCATCCCATTTGTTGAGTACTCACTCGCTCGTACATTGAAATCCAGTCGTCAACGTCCTTGTCTTCTGTGCCTGAGAAAACAGGGGGATCTCGCAGACGCAGAGAACCGGCGCAGAGAACAGTAGGCGGTGCCGATGGAGGAGTTGGAGCGGCGCTTGCGTCGGTAGCCATAGTGGATGGTAAAATGCGATTCCGAAGCTCCAGGGTGATCGAAACCCAGCAGAATCCACCACTTGTAACGGGGTTTATTTGCAGCGCAGAACGCAGAAAGCGAAGCTGTCAGCAGCGTCCGGCCAAGCGCAGCAAGCACGAGCTTATGCTGATGGCGGTGCCCCTGATGTGCCCAGAAATGCCGCTGAAGCTCCTCTTCTTCACTACAATATATATATATATATATATATATATATATATATATATATATATAGATGAGATCTAACAGACAATAATGCCAAGGAAAGTAGTATAGGGGAAGTTATTAAACCAAATTGTAATGTAAATGTGAAGCAAGAAAAGTGGATGAAAAGATAACTTCAATACATAAGCTGCCAGGTCGTAATAAGTTCATGTGCTACGTAACGCCACACAGGCTCATAAAGAGTGTTCCACACTCGCCGCCATGGCTACTGAGGGTGCTGACTGACACTCCCGCGTTTAAATTCACATATATATCCAATAAAGTGGCTGGGAGGATAGGCGCCTTGGTAGCTCAGTGGTAGAGCATCGAGCGCGTTATTTGGAGGTCGCAGGTTCGGTTCCTGACCACGGCAAGTTATCTTTTCACCCATTTATCTTCATATTTACATTACTATTACACACATATTTACATTACCATTACACACATATATATATGTGTGTGTGTGTGTGTGTGTGTATGTGCGTGTGTGTGTGCATGTGCGTGCATGCATGTGCGTGCTTTAATGTAGCCAGGGGTGCAATCTAATACCCATTCTGGCAGAAAATGTTCTGTCGTGCCACACAAGATCGGTCGAGGCTCGCCTGATGGTCAGACATGAGAACAGCAACTGCAGAGAACTGCAGGAACTTTTCCAGCAACTACCTGGCCAGGTCATGGAAACTGACAGGAGTTCTGTGTGATTGTCACAAAAAAAAAATATTACCAATGATCAAAGCTTAAAAATTTGCTCTTTAGAGTGCAACTACAGTGAGCTGGTAATTGATTGATTGATATGTGGGGTTTAATGTCCCAAAACCACCACATGATTATTAGAGGCGCCGTAGTTGAGGGCTCTGGAAATTTCGGCCACCTGGGGCCTACAGCATTTTGCTGTAGCATTTTGCTGTGTAGCACACGGGCCTACAGCATTTTTGCCTCCATCAAAAATGCAGCCGCCGCAGCCGGGATTCAATCCCGCGAACTGCGGGTTGGCAGCCGAGTAGTTTAGGCTCAGTGCGGCGGGGCACAGTGAGCTGCGAGAAGGCGCGTGAAAAAATACAGTGCATAACTGTTGCTTCTTAGTGTAAATGTGAAAGGATATACCGACCCATGAAACACAAGGTTTACTGATGTTTCAGCAGCCGATAAGGGAGGGAGCCTTGTTCACAGTAAAAGCCATAAGAAAGGCACGGCATACATGACATAAGTAGCGAGAGTGCATTGTCAGAAGTGTCCCAATACTCCTGTTCAGTGTGTGTCCAGTCGTCTGCATCTTGATCCCAGGTGCATGCATGATGCAAGCTTCTTTTAAGAGCGAAGCATTTTATATCGCACCTACTCGTAAATCCAGCGTGTGTGGTGGTGTCTTCACCCCTACTGCGCAGGCTGGTGTCTCGTGCCAACCGTAAATCTCCAATAATTTTTCAGCTTAATGTCCACGGAAAAGTATGTAAATCAAGGTAACGTGCCAACATTCGTGATTGATCTGTGGAATCAAGGAAGCTGTCGCATCATGACAGATTCCTCCTTGCCACCACATATTCAAATGTCGGAACTTTAAACGCTGTCCCCAGAATTTGTTGCAGCCGTCTGAGGGCTTTTTTTCATTGCACTTTAAGTGTCAGAGCCCAGAGACAGAATACAAACATGTATGTGCTCATCGGAGAAAGAAAGAAATATATAAAAAAAATTTGCTGTGCGGCTCTGTTTCTGCAACATTGTCGTTTCTTGTTGTCAAGGCAAGGTACACAAAATACGGGAGTAGTAGTTATTCAGTCATTAAGTATATTTTAGAGGTGTGCAAATTAGGCGGGGACCTAAATCAATAGCAAATACAGCAATCCTGGTCGAGTCAGATCTAATCCAATTCTTATCCTAAATGGTTGTGTCAGTAAATACAGCAGTTCAAGGCAATCTAATTCAATTCAATCTACATCCTAAGTGGCGTGGGCACAGTCAATATAGTAAACTAAATTATACTCCTGTGGCGGAACCGGCCAGGCTCCTGTGTCCTCATTTTACACGGATGCACCACTTCTTCGTTTCCTAGCAGCTTTGACTGCAATGTCGGACTATCGCAGGCTCCTTCAAACTTTCATCTGCGGTTACTTTTAACTTGTGTGTTTGCTTCCTGGTTCTTTTGAACATCAAACAGCACATTTGGTCACTGCCTGTCCCAGGGGTTTTATTTTGGCCATATATACATATTTCTTCACATTTAATGCAACCGTTCGGAACATCCTGAGTGCATGTGGTAAATATGTTTACTTATTTCATGATTTTTTTTTTTACCACTCGAGGGTTTGTTTCCAGTGCAGAGTTTTCTAAGCAGATGTGGGGGTCATGCAATTTGCTTTTATTCATCATGGAAAACCTAGAAAAGTCAAGAAATTCAGAAATATCAAAATATCAAATTGGTAGACATCCTAAACTGGAAGAGGCAGTGCTGTCAATATTTGTTGTCTGCTAAACAAAGAATGGGCATAGAATGGACAGACACACTGGTTCGTGATCCATCTGATAGAACGTATGCAAAACCCAATAGTGGTCCAACTGTGCCATTTGTGCCATTTGTTCCCATCTCTATGTGCCTTATGTCCCCATTCAGGTGTATATTGTGCAAGCTGCACCAAATTTCACAGAGCATTTGTGACATTTTTGGTTTGGCACCAGGTACACAGCTTTTTGATATGGCCCCGGAACTCATTCTCCTTCTTTCCACTGATGCATTTTTCCTCCTTATAACCGGCCTAACCCAAATATGTGCATTTGACCTCCTTCAATGACAGTTCAAAATGTATACTCTGGAAGCTCGTCGCTTTTCATGAGAAACTGGCAATAAGGAACTGGCTGAGGAACTGGCTACCAAACATGGTGTCTTCTCATAAGTGAAGTGACCCAGACTCGCAACAGTGTGATATCTTCCAAAGAAACGTGTTTCATGTCAATTGCACTGTGTGAAGTACTTCAGCATATGGTGATTGTAACACAAAGCCTAAATATGCGAGCATGCGTCGAGCATGAAGTGGTGTCGCTTTTGCTCATATGCGTCAAAGTGCACATGGCATGTCTTCATTGCGGAACCGGCGTAATGTGTTGGCAAAAAAGCGGGCAAGGAAATTGACCCATGCAGACACTGACCAGCCGACAGCCTCAACATGCACGTTCCTGCGCTTGCGTGTCTGTTACAGAGTACCACTTAAACAGCCAGTATCCCTGTAAATTACCTGAAAAGGCTAGACTAGACAAGTTGCTCTCAGCCTGCAGAACTTCCTTCCCGATTCCCAGCCAAGCATTCTCGCCGCTCACAATTGCTGCGTCGCTCTACAGTTCAACTGCGACATGAAAAAAATGCGAATGAAAAATTTTCACTGCAAATAATACTCTCATATTTTGCCTCTTTGTTGTGAGGCATGTACTGCAGTGCATCAGATTGAAATGCAAAATCAAGAACCTCCAGTATGACTAATATGCACCGTTGGTCGAGATAAACTATGTCATGTAAATCTGTTTTGGGGAAACCCTCAAGGTTGGGTTAAGAAAGAGGACAACGACCTGTTTGTAGAATGAAGCCACAAAGAAAGCCCGGACTAGGATAAATCTTTTGGCAATTAAGAAACTTTTTTTCTGAAAAATCTGTACGGATTTTGTTACATACTTGTGGCTTCGTGCTACAAATGGGTGGTTGTCTTCTTTTCCTTTCATAAGTCATATCGCTTTAAATCTGTCCACTAAAGGTGATGCTGGTTCTGTTGTGAGAGTAAAACTTTCAGCAACATGACACAAACTAGAGATGGTGGATGTGAGAGTGTGTGCATTACTGAGCATCAAATTGTGCTTCAATCTTTAAAGGTTGTACAGTTTAACATGCAATAACTAATCAAACTTCCATACTTTGGTGTCACACACTGTTTAAGTGCAGAGCTGCTCGTTAAGTGTTGCTCACTTTTTACATACAACAGTCTAACAGCCAATCAGCTATACACTCGGCAGCTGACAAGTTTTACTGTGCTGTTTTCTTGTTTCTCTCACGACCAGGTTGAAACAACGCAATTCTTGAAGATGTTACGGGAGCAGGAAAGCTCGGTGAAAGAGCTGCTGTGCCGGTGGACCGGTGTGGAGGAAGTCAACATCCGGCTGCACAGCTACCGTTCACGCAGACACCATTACATCATTGTCTCGGCTGTTGGACGCCAGTGGCAGCTGTGTTGTTTTGATGAGCTGGTAGCACAGCCATGGCTTGAAGATGCCATCATCAGCAAGAGGCTAGGTTATGACCCTGTTCCACTGAACGATTTATTGTTCGGAGAATATGAAGACTTTAGCCTACTGGATGATTTTAACACGTGTTTTTCAGATTTTAATGACATGCTTTTCGAATGACATTATGTGGATGCTACGCAGAGATCTATAATGTCATTAGAATCGCACGACTTTCACCGTTGCAGCCAAATTGAATGTGTACTCTTTACCCCAGGGACTACTTCAAAGATGGTATTCGGCATTCTGAATTTGACCTGCGTTCATGGAAACTCCCTAATAGTGTTGCTTTTCTAAGGTACCCTTAAATCTTACAAGATTAGGTGTACTTCCGTCTCAAAATTTTTCAACTCTCCACCTAAGTGGCATCTAACAGCCGGCGTTGGTAGCCATAATGTAAACAAGCAGATGCCTGTTTGCAGGTGTGTGTGTGTATCTCCAGCTAAGGCATCAAGGGAGCTATTTTTTTTTTGTCTTACGGCCAAGTCTGTTATAGTTTGTGCACATTTCTGCACTGCCAATATCAAAGAAATTAAAGGCATTACTTGCTGCAGCGTGGCGCCGTTCAGCGGCTATGCCATGTCAAGCGTGTTGTTTGTGGTCATTCTATCGGCTGTCGCTACTGGATAGGCAGATCGTCTTGGTTTGTAGTGGCCATATATTCTGCTATATAAAATTTCTGTGTGCATTTATTTAATGAGGCGACTTCTTGCACACTTTTCAAATAAGTGACTTCACTTTTCTACCACTCAACAGTTTCCATACTAGCCATTTCTTTTCTGAATTTATCAACATTGATAACATGTACGAATGGCGTTACTTTTTCTTGTGTAGCACCACCACGGATCGAATGGCATTCATTACAACGAATGACATTTGAACCTAATGACATTAACACCTATAGCAGTGTTTTACTACTATCCCAGTGTGAACCTTATTTTGGTCATTGCCAAAGGCTGAATTAGCCAGGTAGTGAGCAGTTAGGTTAGACAACAAAAAACTGTAGGCTTATGTACACTCTAAAAAAATATAGAGTAAAAAGGCTGTCTTTTTGTCCCACAACAATAATCGTCATCAGGCTTGCATGCGCTTCCTTTCTTGAAAACTCTGTGCTGGCCACTTTCCTATCGAGAATGCAATGTAAGCCTGATAATGGGCATGTCGATCGTGACCGGAATGTGACCGGAATGTGACCGGAATGTGACCGGAATGTGACTGGATCGTGACCGGATAGCGCAAGGGTGGAACGCAATATTAATGACTATCATTGTTGTGGGACAAAAAGACACCCTTTTTACTCGCTCTTTTGTTAGAGTGTAAACGAAACCACAATTGACATTCCGCTGCTAAGGAAGAATCAGGCAGGTGTTAAGTGTTATTGGCTGACTTTGTTTAGAGCTGACTATATCTTGCCTGGAATGATATTTAGCTGGAGTTCATATTTTTGCACGGAGCCTGTGTTTACAGTTTGATTGTTGGTTTATGAGCTATGCTTCCTGTCGCAGAAAAGCTGTTGGTTTACGTGCTGGCATTGAGGCTATACATTCATACATGTACAGCTGTTTCTGAAGTTTGTCAGGGACTAAATACAGCAGCTGCCATGACATGGCACATTGAGAAACTGAATTCCAAGCTGTGTGGGAGCATGATTCCTTTTCATCTGCATTTAGCTATCTGAAAATGCCATGTAGCATTTCATTTTTTTTTTGTGATAACTCGTTATCTACGTTACATTCGATTGCTTCGTGAGTCTTACATTCCATCTTGTTGTATTAGTTCACACCTTGCTTTGTTAAAAATGGACCAAGCACATCCCTAGTTTTATTGTGTTTCAAAGTTCACTCAGTTGATCAATGGTAAGGTCTGCTGATCTCGTTTTTGTCAACGCATACACCAAAGATACTCGACCAATTTTGTTTTTTAAAGGTTTTGAATACTGATCTCCATTGACAGCACTTTTCACTTGCCCTAGGCTTGTATTCTGAAGCTCAGAAGTAATGCTTATCATGCATTTTTTCGTAGATTTAAATCTTGTTTCAATGTTATTTTATACTTTTAGAGTGGTGTTTGTTTATCCTCAAACCTGACACACATTTCACTGCACACGTCACTGTGCCGTTAATATAACAGCCTGACAAGCATGCAGAAAATTGTTGCACAAGCCATGAAGTCTCTGTGAGTTCATTTGTGTCATTAATATTTTTGTGCTTCTCAATGATTATTGTTTATATTACTTTCAAGAATTTTTAAGAATGTTTCAAGTGCCTTTCAAAAAGTTTATTATATATTGTTGATACAACATAGTAGCCGTATCCATTGATGCTGCTTTGTGGTGCTAGTTCCTGTGCAATTAGTGTTTACTTTGTCTGGCTACTTAAAAAAGAAACAGACCAAAACAGCTATAGTTCATAACAATTTCACATTTTTGTTTTATAGACTTGTGATCCATCAATGAAAAAAACTTAATATGGTGACCTAAGCTAACGCAATCTTGCTGTTGATGCAGATAGTGCCCATGATGTATACTCGATATTTGAATCTTTGTACCATGTATACTTAATAGTCAATATTTTTATGGAATGATTTTGTGAGCCAACATCAGAAGGTACTTATGTTATTTTTATATTTCTGTAACAAGCACTTGCAATACATTTTCTCGCTTGTTAATGTTGTGTACTGTGGTTAATGCTACGTCATCAAAAATTAGTGAACGTAACATGGTGCATCGGTAACAAGTTAAATGGCTGGTTGGCTGAAAAACAGACTGCAAGCAAGAAAAAAGTTTTGGAGATTCCTAGCAGTATTGCGTGAGAGAAGTGTGCCTTGAGCTGGGAATGCTATTGTTATACTGTGATTCTGTACTGGTTTCACTTTTAGATGCATCAGTTCTTTTCAAACTTATTGTCACAATAGTGACTGGCCTTGGTGCGGCTGGTTACTGTTGCGAAGACTACCCTGCTTGACCTTAAAACATCTTGTGCTTAGGACACGTCAAGTGTGAACCAGAGAGGGGTGATGGTCGCGGCGTAACAGAACAGAAGTTTATGTACAGCAGCTGCAACATGGATCACTGTGTTGTACACGGCCTTGGATATTAATGCTGTAGTTTACTATGTGTTGTGTGTCCATGTTCATCACAAAGTTACAGCACTAATATTTAAGACAGTTGATGTACAACATTCATATGTTGATGAATTGAGTTGGGTCAGTCCCTTGGGATTTCTTGCACGACTTCAAATATGACATTCATGACCTCAGGTACCCGGGTTCTTTTTCTTGGGTTCACTCGGATCCCACAGTTACTCACAATGATTCAGGAATCGAACCCCCCCCCCCCCCCTGCTTGTTTTGTGGTGCGGTTCATCTGGCCACGAGGACATAAATACCTCGCTGTCTTGAAGCTAGAAACTAAACGAAATTTGAAGTAAGTGGAATCACAAAAATGGAGTTTGTGATAATTTTGTACACCATGTGGAGTCTTCCTAAAATGTTGTCAGTACTGATAGCAGCAATATCGCACACCGGCCACATTGCTGTTTATGGGCAGAGCACTAATGGCAGCGTGCCGACACAGCCTGCCTGACACTGCGCTGTCATGTGTTTTGCTGATGCACACTTTCGACGCCCCTTGGCATTGGGCTATCAAGCGACAATCTTGCTCATTACGCTGCTGTGGCAGTGAGCATCCTTATCACTCGCTGTTTATGCACAAGCGTCCTGATCAAGAAAAATCTTGCAACGAATTGGCTTTCTTCACCCCCAAGAAGTCTGGTAATGAAGCAAAATGAAGGGAGAGTTCCGAGTGTGCCAAGAGGTAGCTGTGTACATGTGATAGTCGTAATTTTTCCAGTTATGCAGATTTCTAATTTTTTAATTGTAATTACATGGATGTTTCTCGCTTAACTTTATTGCCTCTTGAACACAGTTTTAACAAGTAGTAGACACGGCTTAAGTTTGACCAGTAGAGGACCTCGTCCTGCTTTATCCGTACCGTGCTTCACTCATTCGTCTTCTGCAGCAGTGTTCGTATGACACAATGCATTTAAATGTTCATGGCAGAGGCAGTCTTGTGGCACTGACAGCCCTTTCTAAGGCTTCCCTGTAGGCCACCAGGAGCACGTTGGATAGCGAAGCATAAGCACACTTGCTGGCCTCCTTGTCAAAAGTTGCCTGGCGAGGAGTATTGAGGCTCAGCTTGGGTGACGTGCCCACTGCAAACGTGAATGGCTGCAGGGCCCAAGTGCGCACTCGGGGTACACCACCTGCATGCAGGAAGTGGCAGCACTGCTACATCCACACCAATTTCTAATATTCTTATGTGGATTACAGAGGAAGTCCAGTGGAAGGGACACGGAAGAGAAAAGTGTTTTTTTTCACAATAGTGAACTACTCATTCACAAGATTAAAAATACCACACTGGCTGCAAGAATACGGTCGGTGAGTGGGAAAACCTAGAAAAAGAAAAAGTGAGTGAGGATGCCACCCTGAAGTTGCCACACCAGCCCTCCTTGATGTTGCAGATTTCGACAGCGTCTATTAAGGCTACGTAGTTCCTAACAGACAAAAATGAAGTTACGTCTTCTGAGAGAGCCAGAGATTTAATGTACAAAGTTTCAGAAAATTTAGTTGAAGTAATATATCCAAAATATGAAAAAAAAAGCTTTGAAATCTGTGACGTCAGTATTGGAGGTCTCAACAGAAAATTTTAAAGTGAGACATTTGACGATTATTTGTGTATGGTTGTCAACCTAAGCCAAGCGAGGTATTGGCGTAGTTTGTATTGCATGATTAAAATACTCCGTTACAGTTGATAAAAATACTGACTCATGGTGAACTTAACGACACCAGAGTTTTCAGAGTATGATTCATCAGTCTAAGCTAATTTACTGTTTTACTGTAGTGTCCGAGTTCGCATGATCGTGCTTATCATAAAGAAAGAACGCTATTAAAGCAGCACATACTAGAAAAAAAAAATGCCAGCTTGTGAAAGTGCTACACTTATTACACCATCAACATGAGATGGAACTACCTATGCTTGTTATGCAATCACTTGTTATACAACTATTAAAGCATAAAATGTCGACTTCATGTGATAATTGAAATAGGATGGGTGTCAACAAAATGGGTTTCACTTTTAGACATGGTGACTGGCAGTAATTTTTATACTTTCATTAAAATATAACTGCATTTTTGTCTGAAACATCAAATTAGAAAACTGGTTGTTTTATCCTTCACTGGGCTTCCTGTCAAGCCTAATAATGCATCGTGCTTAGATTGGTAACAAAAAGTTCGAGAGAAAAAAAGAGTTGTAGTGTGCAAAGGGGGAGGGGGGGATGGTGTGAAATCACAGAAGTCTTTGCCGTCTTGCTTTGTCACCTGAGCTGTTTGTTGCAGCCATAACATTACAAGAGACAGCACAGAGAAGGTATTTCATAAAGAGATGTAAAGAAAGTAACTTATCGAAGAAGAAAGTGCCCAAACTGAAGTGGTTAAGTTGCTACTTATGCCATCAATTATAGCAAAACAAGTATGTGCTGGGATAAAAAAAAATCCCAGCATATCCATCGAGTGAATGATGAGTGGAGCAAAGCGTTTGCCCGTCTGTCTGTCCATCCGTCCTTGCTTCCAATCAGAGAGCAGGTGTACTGCCAGCACCATCTAGCGTACCTTGACCCAATTTCCGTATTGAACGCATGTCTATGGGCCAGCGCCCTCTCGAAAACGAGACGAGAAATGAAAATGACGACGCAGAATGCGTACAGCGCCATCTAATATATCGTCACCCAACTGCAGTTTGCAGTTGGGTGACGAGGGAGAGCTCTCCAAGGGAGAGCACCTTCTATTGTACGATAAGGGTTTGCAATGGGGTACGCCGGATGGATTGACAATCGAAAACCGACCAGGGCTCTTAATAAGGAGCTTCGCTCCTAAAATCTCGGTGTAATTCAAATTAATTAAAATTTTTTGCATAATGTCACTGGTGATAGATAGAAGAAAATTGACTGCATTACAAGGATTGTATTGCTGCTGAAACTTGCACAATAAACTGAAGTGTTACTCTCAAGAGATTTGTTCAAGGTGTACTTGCTAGTTGGCTCAGGCTTCTGTTCTTTCAATCATCAATTTGTATTTTAAATTTCAAGTACTAGGACCCCTCAAGAAAGCATAGAACTAAATGTCATCTTCTTCAGAGTCCATTTGCATATTTTAAAAATGTACCTGGTGTTGAGGTGACTTCCAGCAGTGCATTGGCGCTGAAGGGTGCAGCCTGTAGCACAATGCTCCGGTTGGTGTTCAACAGACTGTCGCCCTTGGCTGAGCCAGCGTACGACAAGTGTGCATTGTCTAGCGACACATAGCAGCCCACTGTAATGTTCATGCCCAACCAGCCAGGAGCTGAGCACTGACCCCTGCAGGAGAGAGCAAATCACACTGCAAATAGGGCTGCCAATGCATAGAAATGGATAAAACGTATCCTCGTGTATTGGCACGGTAATAGCCATTGAATTTAAGTGTAAAACGGGTCACTTTCGTGCATAATTGCCATGCCTGAGAAACAAGTCTGAGAAGTGCATTGTGTCCTAATTTCAGTTCTTGAGCGCCAGGCAACATATTTTGCACCCAGCCACGTAAGGCAGCAGAATGTGAATACACTCGTTTACTGTTGTCTCATTTCACTATAAAGTATTTTAGGTCACTAAAGATGTCTGAACCCTTCAGTGTGGCTTGTTTCATAGCCTTTTTGATGCTACAGGATGGTAGGCAAGAGTTGTTTTCACAACTGTGGCAGGAAAATAATGCTAGATTTATTTTTGTTGCACTTGGCCCTACCATCAATGTTTAAGCTACATTCCCATGTGGACCATGAGCACGTCTTTGTACATGACATAATATCTATACCTGGCCAGGCTAACATAACTTATGCACTGTTTTTCATGTTGGTCTATGTTTTAGTCATGTTCACAACAGCTTCATGTATATATTGACATTGTTTTAACATTCTAAAACAGTTATCTGGGAGTCGTTGAACTTCCTGACTTCATTAATAAGGGGTGTAAAAGAAAGGCACTGATGGGCATGCGTATTGTGCTAAAATATTGCATTTGTAATGTGGGTGATGCAGGCCTAAGTTCTAGCAAAAATAATTTGTGAAGCACCGATTTAAAGAGCTGAGGCTCACATTCTTAATTGGAGTAATGGGGAGTAAAAGCTGTGCTTTAATGCTAAAACAGGCTAGACCAAGTTGAAAATAACTTTTGGTTTTAGCCAAACAGCCTGCGAATAAAACGGCTGCAGCTCAGATATAGGAAAAAAAAAAACACGCTAAATGTGGGCAATACATGCAAGAAAACAAGTTGTGAGCAACTTCATACTAATGTGACTGTGGTGCATGTCAGTGATGTACTGCATGTTCACCAGTAATCCATCCCAATGTGAGAAGTAAATGGTTTTCTAAAAATTCAACAGGCACACGAATTCAACATATATGATTCAACAAGCATATGTTAATTTTTTTTTTTTTGTGGACAAAAAGAAGGTGGTGTGCTCTGTATGCCATATTTGGGTGTTGTTGCAAGGCACTGACAGTGTCAGCATATAGGTAGAAAAGCTTTTAAATTCTGTGGTTTAGCATATGGCGAAACCATGATATGTTTTTGAGGCAAGCAGTAGTGGGTGCAGTAGAGGAGGATTTGGGATTACCTGGTTTTGACCATCTGGGTATGTTTTACGTGCGCCCAAATTTAAGTGCATCGGAGTTCTTGCATGTAGCCCACATCGAAGTGCATCTGCCACGACTAGGAATTGAACCCATATCCTCAAGCTTAGCAGTGCATTGATTGATTTGTGAGGTTTAACGTCTCAAAACCACCATATGATTATGAGAGACGCCGTAGTGGAGGGCTCCGGAAATTTTGACCACCTGGGGTTCTTTAACGTGCACCCAAATCTGAGCACACGGGCCTACAAAGCTTAGCAGTGCAAGACCTTAGCTGCCACAGCTGGTATTCAGGATCTATTGTGCCTTATTTGTGTCTTGTTAAGTTTCTATGTTCGTGGGAAGTGCAAAGTTAAGCTACACGGAGACAGCAAGAAAGAAAGAATGAGACAAGCGGTTAACTTCAACTAAGCGTTCATTTAGAAAGGCGAGGACATATATAGACAAAAGATTCAAAACAAGAGAAAAAAAAAACGCAGACAAAAAGCTTACATGTCACGCAGTAATCACTCATCCATTAGTTCCTAACACACCATCCTAAAAAGCGGAGTTCTTTCTGTGTAAGGGTGATAGATGATGCACTAGCACAATCGAAATTGCTGTGTTTCATTTTAGCAGCTTTAGTTACCAATCTGGTTAGCAAATCTCTGTCGCAATATAAAATGCAAGTGTGATCAAGGGGTTATGTTTGTACTTTATACCTGTGAACTATGCATCACTAATTAGTCTGCCAGCAACTGTTATTGAGAATCTATTGTCCATAACACTGGCTATGAGGGAGCAGGCAGGCGCGCTAGGGATTACCTGCGAGCTAGTCCAGGTGAGACCAAACCCAGCAACCATCCACCATGCAGCTCCACAGAGACGTCGCGATTGGTAACAGCTGTGCTGGGTACCTTGAATGCACAGTTCGGCAGACTGACGTTCTCCAGCCCCAGGCTGCGGGCATGTAGTGGCACCAGGGTCGTGAGCAGGCTGTCTATGTACAGGTTAGAATCGACAGGACTGCCCGCGTCTGACCCTGAAGTGACACGGGGAATAAGGCACGCACACCAGGAGTTGGCGGTGGGAAATGATCGCAGGGTGGCAAAATTAACCATACTTACTCGGACTAGGACTTGCCAAAAATGCAGCTCATTTGGGCTCACTGGTACTCGCACTTGATAAAATTGCGTTCACTCAGGTTCACTTGGAGTCAATACAGTTGAACTTCTTTATAAGACGCAAGGTCCAGGCAGCAATTCTTGTCTTTAATACAAGATGTCTCTTATTAAGCATGGTACCTCGTGTGCATTTTCTTATCAACCAGTATTTTTTGGTGTGCACACACTGGTGTCTCTTACACCCGTTTGCCTCTTATATCAGTGTCACTTATAAAACCGTTCAACTGTATCGGCAATATCGAGCGTGGCCGGGATCACCTCAACTTTGGCTTACGAAAATCCTGCTCAACCAAACTCACTCATACTTGGGTCTGAGTGAGTCGACCCAAGAGTGAGTTTTCCAACCTAGGCAATTAATAGATAACGCTTCTATTGACACACCATGGTGCTTTAGTCGCTTGTGATTTGCTTTTACAAGAAGTTCCTGTTCTTAATAAGCCTATTTTACTTGACTCTATTATGCACCGATTTCATGGTGTTTCTTTTTTAAATGTGCCTTGGCATTTGTTGCCTTGCTCTCTTACTAGCTATCAATGATCACTAGAAAAAAAGCCATCCTCCTAGTGTAGAATGATTTAAGGACCTTTTGAGTCATGATTTAAGGACCTTTTGAGTGGTCGTATAGTTTACATTTAGTAGATTGTGTGCATGGGCTAAGTAATAGGTTACTAGGTGTCACTTTTCATGACCCAATGCTCAGTTTTTAGTATTATAGTCATTCGTAACGTTTGTTCATAGTGACATGTGTCATTTCTCCTCAGTATTAAGTTTTTTGCTCTTACATTTGGAGTACTGGATCAAAAATTCTTTGGTTGAATTGTTTCAACATGTACTCATCTTGGCACATTCATTGCAGTCATTTGCTACAGCAGCATATAACTTACCAGGATCAATTTAGTTTTGATATATATATATATATATATATATATATATTATAAAGGTAATATATATATATAGGAAAGAAGTGTATAAGTAAGGGCTCATTTTTCTGTGTTTTACACAATATTAATGAGATACAACAGACAATAATGCCAAGGAAAGTATAGGGGAAGATATTAGACCGAATTGTAATGTAAATATGAAGAAAAGTGGGTGAATATATATATATATATATATATATATATATATATATATATATATATATATATATATATATATCCATCTATTCCAAGAAGCACTGAGGGTGCCTTGCACAAAAGCACATTACCAAGTAATATGTTACTGAGATATATTTTCTCACCTTGTATCATGCAGGTAAGGGTGACCAAACTATACAGGTACCAATACATGTTCTTGCTTCTTGGTGCAGCGAGACTGCAAGTTTCTGTGGCACATAGTTGAGAATGATGTAGTGAAGAAAGATTATACACATAAAAGCTTGCTGCCCACAACACACTAATCAGCATGGATTATCTTGGCATGAGACATGTTTCAAATGAAGAAAAACTGTGCGTTAGTAGTATTGATGAAATTGGGTATCAACTTTTTGTAACCATACTTGATACCACAAAATATGTGATGTATGGTCCATAAATTGATAGACAAAATATAGTGATTGTTAAAAAAGCAGTGATCAAATAGTTCAGATGCAATGCAATATTCTGATTGGTAATGTACAGAGCTCTTCAAAAGGATTGAATAACTGCACAACCATGTCATGTGCCAGCGTGACTGAACTTCAGTTATGATTATACATGATGATTTAAACATTGCCATAATAAAGACTCAGCATGAACACGATAGGACTTGTAACATGACTGGTTGCTGTGCCACGTTAGTGTGATGGCTTAGTCTCCTTTTTTAAAGCTTGTGAAACGAAATTGCTAGAACACTACCGTAGTGAATAAAGAGCCAGCTATATTAGCCTTAGTAAAAAACTTTGTCAATTGGGATTAAAAACAAATTGGCTCTCTTCTTACTCCTGAATTAAAAAAAATATTCCAATAATTAAATGAAGTAAGTATGCAACATATTTGTCAGTCACAAGAAGAGACTGGATTATAGAGAAATGCCTATTTTGTTTCTTGCGTTCCTATCATGCCACTTTGATATATGGGCATAAATTAGAGGTTAGGAAGGGCTTTTATGTTGTGTTATAGTGCCTATAAATGCCTAATTTGGTTGTTTGTGCCCAAGTTCCTATAAATGCCTTTTTTCAGAATCGGTGCCTATATGAACATTGTTTAACCTCGAATTTTGCTTTCGAGTATAGTTGGAGACTGATATTCATGTTACTAAGCAAAATTGAGCTTTCAGAACTCTATGGGGTGCAACCCACACTCCCATCTCATCAAGGCTACGAGACCCCTGAAGCCATCATGTTGAGGCAAGCACCCGTGAGATGAAGGGCAAGCGGCCTTCATGCTGCGTAGCGCTCCAAGTCTTCGCAGACGAGATCATGAGCGCCCAGCGCACACATTTCTCTTGCCTGCTGGAAATTCTCGAACCTTTTGAGAGTTATGGGGTTCACAGACAGAGGAGAAATTGACCCTGTGCAATCAGACCCGGTTAATACGAAGGTAAAAGACCCTTCTGGCCGGATAGTGGTCTGGCTATTCGCTCCTGTGCTGCCCTTCTTAGCCATGACGAAAAGAAAGGGTGCCCAAGAGCGAGTTTATTCAACAGAAACTTCACTCACCATTCTAGACAAGACAGTGAACGGTGAGATAGTTTTGAAACCCTGTGGAAAAGAAATTGCATAGCTGAGCTAAACCACTGGCACCTTTGTAGCATCATAAACCTAGCATTTCTTTTTGCTTTTCTGTTGTAGGCACAGATCACGTATGTATTTCTTCGAAATTTAAAATTTTGCAGAAATTTATTTTGCCTATATTCATGATTTTGATGGCCTAAAACTGTGTTTTCTCTGCCTATTGTCGGCACCTATACCCCAATTTTTTAGTGCTCATAAATCCGGCTTCTATTCATAAGTCTTAAGTGCTGGCTTGGGGGGTTGTTAATGACACTTATTCGTTTTGCCCAGGAACTCGATTGATACTTATCACCCTGCTCCGAGTCTTCTGTATTGTCAATTAACATGCAGTTGACAGTGATGTTTGGACGCTTTGTAGAAAATGCAAAAAACACTGGACACATTCATTGGACACATTCAAAGTGGCAAAGCTGAAAGTTGTACGTACTCACCTCTGTCGTGCTATCGTCTGACGAGATGGCAGCCCACGCAAGGTTTTGTCTGCCCGTCACACTGATAAGTGGGCAGTTGCACTCGGCTAATGGCTGGATGTGTAACTTTATGACCCTGCCCTAAAACCCTGCCCACCACGACAAGCATTCTGCCGTATCAGCTCGTGGCGTAGGCTGTGATGACAGCGCTGTTGATGCAGATGAGGCAATGCAAGCTCTTGGCTGTTTCTAGCAGATGGTGTGGGCGACTAAGTGAAGGCACTATGTAAAGCACAGTTTTGAAACCATAATTAGGCATCACTTAATAACAAAATTGTTTATTCTTACATGAAGTTCCCTATCTGAAAAACATCTGTATAGGCTGCTTCACGCTTTGGAAAAAACTTGGAGCATGTTACTACGCACACCAAGTTTTCTCCACACTAAGTCTAAAACAGCCTGTACACTTAATTGACATCATTATTGATCGATGCAAAAAGCGAGGTGTAAACTTCATGGTAGGTTATATTTGCACATAAATGCACTTGTGAAAAAGTGAGGTTTGCTGTTACCATTTGTCGTAGAATTTGGCACACTTAAAATTTATAAAAATTTTTTTGCAACTATTTAATGTACCCTAAAGGTGAGAAGTGTATGATTTCTACTCGCACACAAGACTACTACAATGTACCTTTAAATTCAAGAATGAACAGCTGGACCATACAGCTGGTATAATTCAGGTAACAGAATATTCTTAACAAAGTTGCTAATTGAGCTAGTTGGTTTAGCATACTTGAGGTCTGACAGCTTGAAAAAATGCACGGCAGACAGGAAAAGGATGACACAAGTGCTTGTCCCATCCTTTTCCTGTTCGCCGTGTATTTTTTCGCGCTGCTAAACATCAAGATATAATTTTCTTGGCTGAAGGAGCTTTACAAGGTATGACCCAACGCAAAAAATATTTCATCATGGAAGTACAATGTGTGGAAAAAAGGTGCTTCCTTTTGATAAGCGTGAATGTTTTTATGAGGGTGCGAAATTGCTTGCGCAACATGGGGAAATGGCGCTGCCCTGATTATTCCAACTATTGCATCTGACGAAGCAACACAGAACATTAAATGTTAATATCAAAAGTTAGCATTTAACATGTAAAAGTAGCTACATAGAAACTGGCTTTAAGTGGTCTTGGTTTCAGAGAAATTCCTAGAGCAACCTTAAGGGACTACATATAAGAAAAACAGACTATTGTTCAGAAAAGCAACAGGTACTGTAGGCAATTAAAATTTACCTGTGCTTTATACAGAACACTTCGTTCATTAACCTTTGTCTCCTCTCTGCTCATCTTAGTTCCTGGAATTTGTGTGAGAACGTGCCCCACCTCCCCACACACACACGTGCACGCACACACACACACACATGTGTTGGTTGCACCTGCCAGCTTGTATAAGCTTCTTGGACCTAATGGTAAAGCAGCTGTGCAACTGTGCTTGTTCCTGTTCATCTATTGCCCGTGGCGCATACCCACTGTGGGAGATTGGCCAAGAACTGTGCTTGCCATCATTAGGCTTCAAGTGTGCTCACACTGGCAAATGTGAGATGGCAATGTTGCTGCCACCCGTTTTTAAAAACACGGCTCTTCAAGCTTTCCGTGGCTCTGGGTAATGCGCACAGGAATTATCAATTCCTCATCATAAACAGGTATGCGCTCGCTTCGTTCTCTTCAACCTCTGCTTCGCTCCTACAATGCATGGGCCGATTCGTTCGGCGCAGAATACTAAAACTGTGATGGGCGAGTCTGTTACATGACTGAAAATCATGTAACTAGTCGCATGAATAAGTCGCATGAGATCACATAACGAGTCAAGTGACTAGAAATCGCATATCTAGTCATGTGGCTAAAATAAGGTAACACACATAACAACTAGTGACATGCCTAAAAATTGCGTAGCACCACCCATGAGACTAAAAAACTCGTGACACGCTGTAACTACTCACTTGACCAGAATTATGCAACACCACATTACTTGCCCAACTTTTGAAACATTTATTCCCAAAGCTTAAATCACGTGATATTGCGTAACAGCTAGTCACATGACATATCTAGCCAAGTCTAGCCCTACTTAGTACTACTGGCAAAAGCTAGGTATTACTCGCGAAATCTTAGAACCTATCTTTCTTTTTGTCTGTCGTGTTTCTCGTATGTACGGTTCTAATACAAGCTAAGTTAATAAATGACCAACTCCCCCAAGTTACAACACTTGGCAAAACTTAGCTTGGTTGAACACTAACTTGACTGGTGGTTCCAGCCTTGTGGCACAAGTGCAAATTGCATACTTTTTTTGCTTTAGCAAACTGCATTTTCTTGAAAACATGATTCAGGAAAGTGGCCGATCCTTGAATCAATGACAGCTGCACCAAATATAGATTTCTTAGAGTAAAACTTTATTGCCACGCAACCACCACTGCACACAGATATGCAAAAAATAAAATACACATCTTGAGAGACATCTTAGTACTAGGTAACCGTATTGTTATGAAGGTTAACATGTTCACAGACTAGTTATCAATTTGTTTGCTAAGAAGACCATTTTGGAGGCTGGCATGCCAGGCTTGTGACACTGGGTATAGTATACTATGTATAGTGTTTATGGATTGAAATGAGCCGTCAAAACTTGTTAAGTGTTGCGAGTCGCATGCCCAGTAGCCCGAGATAACTGCATCATGTTGCTAGAAATATTGTAATGTTGACTCTTATCCAAGTGTTTCCAGTCGAAATTATGCCGATACAGCACAAAGTGCACTTGATAAAAATGAAAGCATGTAAACCACAGTTGAACCCCTTTATAAGAGGCACGCTCCAGGCAGCAATTTTTGTCTTTTATATGAGATGTTTCTTATAAGGGTACCACTTATGCATTTTTTTTACCAATCCGTATTTTACTGTAGGCACACTGGTGTCTTTTATACCAATTTGTCTCTTATATCAGTGTTTCTTTTAAAGGGGTTCGACTGTACTCGACCCCAAATTGTCACATTTCGATGTGCGACCTCTCTACATTTGATCTTAGTCTGCACGTGCATGGTATTTAGGCGAGTGTTCACACATGCTGTAAATACCGGTCAGAAACTTATGGCAATGTACGGACTAGAAACGTGCAACACTATAAATTTATTACAGTGAAATTTTACTGTGGGAATAAGCTACCTGGCTGCTTACAATATGATGCAAGAGAATAACAAAAGTTTGGCAGTATCCAAGTGTACAAGTTCTCAGGATGGAATGCACAACAAATGTAAATGTGTATCGATGTAACTAGAAAATGTGCAGTGCTTGCATGCCTAAGCTCTAATTGCAAGGCAGTTCACACTTCACTGTAAAAATTGTGAGGGAGCACGTGTGCCCAGCCTCCCTTTCCCTTTTACGGGAGCGACAGCCTAGTTGTGGGGACATGACTGTCCCTTCGAGAGCCAATAAAGCCCCTTGCAAAGGGATGGAACACCCCCGTGGCCAGCGCTCGCGATCCCCCTTTTCTGGCGCACGGAACTGGTATCCCCTCCCTCAGTGAGGGAACGCAGTCTCATCAGGGAAGGGAAACTGGGACGGTGAAGAAAACCAGTGTGCCGACGACCGGATGCCCTCTGTGACATCGGCCAAAAAGGAAGAAGGTGCAGGCGGAGTCGCCAACGCTTGGCTCGCCACGCGGGCCTCCGGCAGACGGCCCGCGGTGCCGTGCACCGGGGTCCCACTGTGAGAGAGAACCGTTTGCGGCAAACGCTACCAGCCGAAGAGACCCGCTCAATTCTCTTTTGCCGCCACCAAGCCACCACTGGTCGGCAGTGCCTGGCTCCCCCACAGAATAAGCAAAGAAAAAGCAAGAGAGAAGAATTGTGTGCTCCTAAAAAAAAAAAAGGAAATAAAAATGGTGTTGCATTTTTGCACTTCCCCATTCACACACATCAATTTATGTAAGCCGTTTGAATATATTTGCTCTGAAAATAATTCTGCTAACATGTAATATGTAAAATATCTGTAGCTGGTTAAGTACTCCCCTGACTTTGTACTTATTAATAAAAAAAAATATAAGCAAGTACTTGTGAATATAGTACTATTCAGGATTTGTCTACATCTCAAGGATGTCGCACAAACCAGTCCATAACAAATGTACTTAACAACTAAACTTCCTCCAACTTTCTGTGGTTATTGCTATTATAATAGTCAACAATGCAAAAGCAAAGAAAAAAAGCAATGCAAGCAAACAAATGTAACGCACGAGCTTGGGTCACCAAGATCACATGTAGCAGCCGGTATCTAGTAGGAAAAATATCACTAATAAACTGAAGCAGACTGGGTAACTGGGTAATGCCTCTAGAGGCCACCTGTTAAATCCACCACAGTGAGGAAGTCCACCGGGAAAATGCATCACTGCTTTGCAAGGGCACACACACACACAGACATCAATCATCAGATGGCCTGAGCCATGTGCAGTGGTGTTAACATCAGCTCCATGACTGCATCCTTGAGGTTGGCACCACGGAGGTTTGCTTCGTGCAAGTCGCTTCCGGACAGGTTGCAGTTCTGCAATTTCAGTACAGGCTGACGTTAAACGACAGACACACTTATGTAACCTTTGCTGCATAGACAACAAAATGCACCAGAGCTAAGCCAAGAAGAATGTCACAATATCGCATACAGACACACCTATATAGTACTACCCGTGACGTATCAAAAAAGTCCTGTGAAATTGCCTCACAGAAAGCGCTAAAGCTTAAAGAACAAACATGTCACAACATTATAAATGTACAGCAGTTGGTGCCTAAACACAAGTTCAGCACTTGTGCATGACATCCTGTTCATTTTGGTAGTGCTGAACAGTCACTGATGTAAACTTACACACTAGTGCTCGGACAATGCTGTGTTTGTCTACTGTATGCTTTACCTCGATCCTTACGAGATTCGCTTATTGTTCGGTCAAATAAACTTTGCAGTATTGTTAATATGCCATTATGTGTTCTATACAGCAGTATCATTCTTCAAAGGCTGTCGTTAAAAGCAGAGGAGCAGAATGGTAAAACATTGTGACCGTCACTTGCATTTATTTCATAAACATAAATGTTTAATTGAGTTAATCAGGGCTTACTATAGAAGAAAATTGAGATCGCTTGCCATATCTAGAAATATACCTCACTAGAGAGCTTGGTAATGTATTCAGCGCGTCTTCCATCACAGCTACTCTATTTACATTGTCTCTCTGTCTTACTAAGCAAACCTACGAAACAAGAGCCTCCTTTTAAGTTCTCTGGCAGGTCTGATTTGTCATTTGTGATGGAGGAAAGCAGTTGATTACGTAGTATGTACTGGGTGATGTTTTTGATCAGTGAAAAACGAAATGACTGGTACAAAATGAGTGATCTAAACAAGACTGAGTGATATCGTGTGTGTGACAACACTGTCTGGTTTTCTTTATAGCTGACAGGCGGGAGGTTTGTACGCACAACCTATGTCTGAAAACTATTTCCGTGCTCTGGCAACACTAATGGGAAATAGGTCTCGTAACATTGTTTCAGTATGCTCCTGCGAGTTGATACGTTGCCGTGACAAGCCATTTTGAAATGATTTAATAAGCTCTGCATCTAAAACTTGGTCTAAAATTTTGATTTCAGTTCAGAGTGCTGAGCTTATGGTCAGCTTTGTGCGCAAGTTTCAAAAGGGAGCAGTGGAAGATTGAACCGAACAATGACAATGACACGATGATACAGGAGAGAGACAACGCTGATTGCAATACATGATGATGAAAGAAAGACGTGCCTCGAGATCAGCACCAGCTAGAATGGCTTGGCGCAAGTGGCAGTTCTGCAGATTTGCGTTCTTGAGAGTTGCTACTCTGAGGTTCACCCCAGCCATTTGGCTACCATCCAGGTCTGCATCCTTCAAGTTCACCCCTGAAACACACCAGGAAGACTGAATGAATCGCATGCCAAGATCGTCATGCAGCGCTTAACACACTGAAAAAAATGCAGTGTGTTATCCAGGGTCGTAACTAGAGGGGGGTTGAGTGGGTTCTGACGCCCCTTCAAAATTTTTCATACTTTAGCTTTTGTGGTGATGCCAAAGAATTTACACGCCTTCACATTGGCCAAAGTGAGCCATTTGACACATAAACACCACCCGAAAAAAAATTTCCGAGTATGGCCCTGGTGTTAACTGTTTACAGCAATATGTGTATGCGTAAAGTGATCTGTGCTTTATCCTGAAGCACAAACCAGAAAATGCATGTGCTGACTACACTTACTTCACATTCTTGGCATACATTCTTCGCAGCTACATTCTTGGCATAAAACACTTCAGTTGACTATTTAGAATCTGGTTGGTGCTATAAATATGTCGAAGCTCACAGTATCCTGCAACTGAGAGCAGCCAATGAAGTTCACTACATACTGATGGTGAAAATATGCTGTGTTTCTTGTGGATGAGCCTACGAGATTTAGAAGACTTGCAATGTAATGGAAATTCCAAATTTCTTCCAAGTCTTAGTACTATGCAGTAGCAAATAAACTATACTGTATGTCTCACTCAGCAGCATTATTATTAAAAATCAAATTCCCAAGTACCGATGAGCCAGTGCCGCATCGTTAAGTCAAGCTCTACTGAAATAGGTCGTTGTAATACTGAAAATATAAGTTTAGGTTCTGTTATATTATGCCACTGCAGTGTTCTAGTGAATTCAATGTACTAAACGATTTGCTGCAGTATGACATCATTGATTTCTTACCCTACCTGCCCCATAAAAATGGGGCGTTCAGGCACTGCAACCTTCCCATGGTGCCCTCCATAAGAGAGTCGAAAGCTGTCACTTAATTTCAAAAGATGCCATATTTGTACAGCTATCGTCTGACCCATGAATGTAACACTGATAATAATATTTACCGCAAAAGAATAAAAATGTTTTTATCCTTCCACCCTGCAGCTGAAACAATGTGCGTACATGCAGTGACAAGGAATGTTCCAGTTACCTTCCAGGTTGGCGCTGTTCCCGGCAGGGTCCTCCATGTTGCAAGAACGTAAGTGGGCTGCCTCCATGTTGGCGCACATCATTTTGGCTCCAACCAGTTGTGCACCCTAGTTGAGAACAAAATAGTCAAGTGGCGAAAACTTTTAGAATGTTGTTTGTGTGCTTTCGTAAAGTATGTATGCCGATTCAGCAATGTCATTCCATGAATGTTAGTACCTAAGCAAGCGGGGATTATGGAACTGCACATCACGACTCGAGCAATAACCTTCTCCTCCAGTTCGGCTTGCTTTCAAGGATGGCGGTCGCTTCAAAATTTATCCGGTGATCCAACATCTAAGCATGTTCGGCGACTGCGCTGCGCTCTTTGTAGAGCTTCCGCACATCGTTGGCGTGTTGCTTCAGTCGTTCTGGTAGGTTTTTCGTCTCGCCGATATACGAAGAGGGCACTTGGCGCACGGAATTTCGTAAACGTCGGATTTTTTTATAACATTTGTTTAAAGTCTAAATCATCTCCCTGTGCGATTACTGCATTTCTTCTTTCAATATCTTGCTGGGGTCTGCCGTGCATTGCAAGTGTGAACTTATAAGCTGATGGCCCACTTGCTCACCTCAAGGTTGGCCAAAGTGAGGTCCGCACGCTCGAGGCAACAGTAGCTTAGGTTGGCCCACGTTAGGCGACACTTGCGCAGGTTGGCCCACTTGAAGTTGATGTGCCGCAGGTCCAGCCGGGACAGGTCAGCACCAGACAGATCCACACCCTAGAGCAAATAAGCAGCTTTATTCTCACTGCACAATACTCTGCGCAGTCACTTATACATTTCGAGCAATGAACTTTGCGAATCATTGCTTAAATTGCTTTGTGGATAGTTGCTCCGTTGCTTTTGCATTTGATTGTGCTAAAGATGTAAGAGTTGCATGAAAAACATTTGTTGTCATCTCACTGACTTATACAAGTCAAATGAAAAAGGTTTCAACACTTGAGGAGCATGCTGGGCTAGTTGTAATACCGAACTTTTATGCATTTCCAGCACTTAAGTTAAGAAAGAGAACAAAAAACATGCAGACACGGAGAGAAAAAGGAACAGTAAGAATGCTGGACCAGCGCTTTGACTATTTCTTTTTTCCTCCTATGTCTGCACGCATGTTTTTCTTTTGCGTAAGCACTGGAAATGCATCAAAGTTCATGTTTAAGCACCATGCTATTATTTCCTATCCTTAACACTTTCGTGACCGCAAGAAATTTGGCCGTTCTTGAGTAGTCTAGAAAACCGTATCTTTTTATGGCACCCAAAGTTACTGATCTTAATGTTTATGGTGTCAAATTGTACAGCTTGGAGTTATCTTTCAAACACGGTCAGTTTGAAACGACAGGTTTATTAACAATAGTACGAAAAAAAATCATCAAACAAAAACATTGTAAACATGAACAAAGACATTTCATAGAATCATCAGTACTGCTCTACAGACTAAGCATAAAAAGAAATCGAAATATACATTTTTTTTAAGTGCAAGGAGCACACACAATGATCCTGTAAATATAAGTGCTGTAAATACAAGTGTTTTGTGTACACAAAATAACATTACACATAGTGTCTTTCATGTTATTGTGCCACGCAGTTTCGCGATGCGGTAAAACACAGGCTTGCTACGCATGTGTCACAGAAAACACTTGCTTTTCTGTTCAACTTTTCTTTGTTCATAGCATAATTTCCAGTTCGTGTTTTTTTTTGACTGGTGCCGTTAGTTCTGAGGAGCTTTTCGTGTAGGAGCATCAAGATGGACTGTGGGACCTCCAAAAACCATTTCTCTTGCTGTACGTCGGCTTCTGAAAAATATGTGTCCAAGCATATGTGTTTTTGCATAGCTCTCCAATAACTTGAACAGTAAAAAACAAAAAGTCGACAGCGCTCACGAAGCGCTGCGCGGCACTATGTAACGCGGCTCCAAGGTTCACTCCCGCCTGCCTCCGTGCACAAAACTGCACTCTCTGTGCTGGCGCCGGCAAGTGGTCCTGCCCGAAGGAAGTGGACGCCCTGCAGATAAGAGCCCTAACATTAAGAACACATCGGATCAACTTACACCGATGTGCGCAGGCAATAACGCGGCCCAAGCACAAAGCTAAACTCGCCGGTGGGCGACCGCCGATGTTCCGGGGCAGTTTGACGAACTCGGGTCATCTGCATTGAAGTCAAAAGTGTCGATGCCGTCTTCCGAGCCTGTGCTATTTTCATCATTTGAATATTTCAGCCCAGATGCACGAGAATCCCCCGAAATTCGCCGTTTTCGTGAAGAGGTCACACGCGACGTTGACGCCATGATTGAAACTCTGCACGCTCACCATCGCATAAGGAAAGGCGATTTAAAATCCCCACGAGGTGAAAAACAGAAACACAGAAGCGAAACTGATAAAATACTTCTCCTTTTACACGTTGGATGTCCAAAAAGCGTTCGAAACAGGGCAAATACTGAAGTTGTAAATGTCGAAAACATACTATCGATGGGGATAGGCACGGTCACGAAAGTGTTAATGATACCCTGGTCATATGTAAGCTTTCACAGGGAAGCTGATCTCAGCGTGAAACGAGAATGCATGCCCAAGACAGGCAGGCACAGGTGACTGGGCTATTCCAGGATGGTCTAACATTAAATGCAGACACATGACAATGGCTTCAAAAGCCAGAGGCATTTAAAATGTAGTGGCTCCTATTGATGCACCACTTTTTTTTTTGCAGTTGTGCAGAAAGTTACAAGACTTTAAGAACGTCACTGCCAACTGGGAAATGGGGCACATTGCAAAGGCAGTGGAATGGCACGGGATATACCTGCCTGAAATCGCAGTTCCGACAAGTGGGACGTTCTGGTGAGGACGCGAATGACATCTTGTCTTGTCAGTGGAAGGCTGTCACCGGGATCGCACTCGCTCTGCTGTTGGGGCAGAGTAATCAAAACGATTTTGTATGAATGACCAGGCAGTCACCAGATCCAGAAATTTGTCCTCAACTAGCAGTGACAGCTTCAGCTGTGCAAGTAGCGCAGACGCAGAGCAAGGAACCTGAACGAAGACAAGCTCTTCGTTGGCGGCAGTGCAAGTACGCATACTACCTCGTATATAACTAAGGAGAGTAAGAAAAGTGGATGGAAAAAAAAGTGAGCAGATTTTTCTGAAAAAGCAGGCTACGCTGTAATGACAACAGTAAGATTACTTTTCATCTACTGGAAGGTGCTAGCATGTAGTAAGCTCTAGTGTACATGCACACCATAGTGCATTGTAGAGCTACGAAAAAGTCTGCACTTGTTTCTAATTAAAAGTCTAGTTGTGTCTAATTTAAAGTGGTACAATTAACAATAAAAAAACAATGATAAACTGGGGAAGTAAATCTCTGCCACTTTGGAAACAGTGCCGGCCAAAGGCATGCTAGACAAGTAACTTCCACAAAAGCAATGCTGCTCTTTGATAGATAGTTTCTATTATTACTATTGTGTCTGGCCAAAGCATAATTAGGCTCTCAAGAAATGAAACCCACGACAGTGGTCTGTACATGTAACTTCAAGCAATTCCTTCGCAGTGCAGATGTGAAACCAGTATATTCTAGGCAAAAACTTGGGTACCTGCAGCAAACATCATACTATAGCAACATCATCATCAGCAAACAGCATACCATCATCAGCAAACAGCATACTATAGTCCAAATCAAGCTCAGCAACAGAGCTAACTACGACCGCATGAATAAAAATTATACTGTGAAATCTTTAGCAAATTCATAATGTATAAAAGTAGCAACACATGGCAGTGTAATTTTATAGAATTATAATGTTGGTGTTGTAGCGGTAAAATTGGTAGTATAGTATTAGTGTTGTAGCTGTAAGATTGCCTCATTTGTTGAATAGTGAATTTCTTGTATCAACATATGGAAAGACAATGTGAAAACAGAGAAAATACATCACAAAGCATGGCACAAAGATATCTTGCAGCATTGAGTGAGTTGTAACATTCTGTGGCAACACATAGATTGCTTCATATCTCAAACGGAGTGCTGTTTACCTGACTAATCCGTTCCAGCTCTGGAATAACGGATTCGATTCCGTAAAACTTTGCTTCTTCTAAGACACCTGTAAGTGTAGCATGATATATTAATGTCGATTTCTATATTCATAAATGAAAACGTAATTTTCGCAAATGCTCTTATAAGACCAGAGATAGATGATCAGAAAAAAAAATGAATCACTAAAAAAAGAACAAATAGGACATGTTGAGGAGTGAAATATTCTAAGTGATTAAATTAAACTACAGAAAAGCAAACACCAAATCACACCGATCTGACCTTTCTAAAGCAGCACGAAACATGATATTAAAGCATAGTTATTGGAGGCTTACGTATATGCATGAACGTGTTGCCATTCCCAAATATGTGGACTAACTAAGAAGCTTCTAACCAACATGTAACCGATTTCAATACTGTTACAGTGATAGTAATTAAACAAGGTAGCAGCTTTTTGCCTGATGCACTTACTGCATCTGCTAAACTGGAAAAGAAAGGTTTAACACTAAATAAGTATACAAAGTTTTAAAGAGATGCAATCGGGCTGATGCTAGCCAAACAATAAATAAGAATAAACAAGCATTTAGTCTGCAAAAAAAGACAATCTTACTGAATGACTGAAAATTATTGAGCAGGAGTGACCTACTTCATGTGTTCGCTTAGAAAGTGGTACTTTTGAGAAATAACTGCAGAATCACCAGGAAATTCAACACATACATCATTTCATCTCACTGAAGACTACATTATGTGTTTTTGCACCTTGTGCACATGAAAGAAATGAATGGCAACCTATAATTTCAAACAGTGAATTGCTGAATTGAACAAACTATTCAACTGCATATTCAAAATTTTGAACATCTGCACATTGCTATTATTCACGAGCGCAACACACTAACGTCATGTCTCGTTGCACTCACCTCGTGGTGAAACCCCTCGATCGAGAATAAGCTGCCCGTGACGAAGGTAGTTGAGCAATGGTTCAAAGTAGGTGGGGCTTCGATCAACCAAGTAAGCCCCGTGGCGGTCCTTGGCACTTGGCCATACAGTTCCATCAGCACCTTCACTGAACAGACGCCCGAGCATAGAATCGGGCTCTTTGGAAACCAATGTGCTCCTGAAAAGACAGCGAATTTTTTTTTTTAGTTTGAGCCATAGATTTTTGCACAGTAAATACCAAATAACTAGGACCATGCTGATAGTAAATTCAATCCTCATGCAAGGGTTTTGTCACACTGTATAAATTATTTTTGGAATTCATTCCAAGTCACAATCTTCTACATTGTTTTGTAGTAAGCAAGAAGCAGGTATCATACACTGAAATTATGGACTGCAAATTAGGTCATGTACTTTGGTGAATTTTCATTTCAAATGAAGCCAGACTGCCTTTCAAATCTCTTCAATTTTGGTGGAGACGCCTAGTACAGACATACTTCGTGTTGATTCTCAAAGATTCTAATTACCTGCAGACTTGCCATAGAAGTATACATAAGCAAAGGAAATTATATTTTGTGGAGTAAGAATTATCTGCGTAAGAAATAATTTGTTTGTCAATTTCACATCGTCAACTCATAAATGAGACATATCTTACAATATATAGCTATTATGACAACAGAAGGTTACCTTGTGGTGGCAAAGTGCTTTCCACCAACGTTTAGCAATACCCAGTCTGGCTTTTCAGGGGCTAGGGACTCTGGTGCTGCAAAAAACATGTCTCTAAATATACACATGCACGCATGTAATAATAAAAAGCTGAAGTAGACCTGTCCAGTTTGCGTCAAATGAGCAGCAGTAGCAGACTCTAGCAGTTTTTTAACAACTATCAGAGACATCATCAATGTCTCAAAGGGAAGCAAAAATTGATGGTGATTGTTCCATGATATATCGAGTACGTCATCGAAAAATCTTATGTAGGGACGGCATTCTGTTGTTTTTGCTTGGGACAGACATATACATAAACACAATGGTTGACACAGATGAATAAAATAAAGCAGTGTTTAAAGCACAGTGTTAAGAAATATGTCCACTTTCGATTTGTTTCATTGGGCAAAGAAACAAGGTTAGCCAACTCTGATGACAACTGTTGTGGACAAATGTGTCCTAGCGATTATACTACTGTAGGATGCCATTCTGCACGGAGAGCTTGTTTTGGTTTACTATAAAAAATGCATTACTGTAGTGACAGCCTCAAATGCAGACCTTAGTCTTCAGCATGCCATTGTGACATTTCATTAACAACTGATGGCAGACGGTAATGAATTGCGCAATAAGGTTGTGTGCAAGGAATAATTTGGTTGTTAAAGGCAACGCCCCACCGTCCTGTTTTTGTAGTACTGTGTAATGTGATGCGACCGTACGCAAGTTATAATAATATAGGTCGGTAATTGATAGATATAATCTGTACTCACAACCACCTTCATTTTTACGAGAAGCGAAGCTGTTGTAACGACTGGCCCGCTGTCTAAGGTTCACAAACGACAATATGGCGCGCGGACTGTTTACATTCGGATCTCGAACGTGCTAAACACTCCTCCGTCCACTTGCTTCTCAATCGCAGCGCAAATCGCTACTGCTTACCAATGAAGCTTTCGCCGGATGAAACGAACAAGGTTTCTTCGTCTCTGCAAAACATTAAGCATCATCGATACACCGTTAGAAACAATGCAAACAAAACAGCCAGGCACGCACTACGCGAAACGCAGTAGTCTTTTGCGGATGTCAATACATGCCTTATTAAACACGTATCGTCGATCTCTCCACCTTTGCTAGTAAAGAGCCGTTTAGCTTGGATTCCGAACTTGGCAGCGATGGCTTCCAGTAGCTCGTCTAAAGTCCGAGGAACCAGGAACACCTTTCGATGAAAAAGGTGTCAAATTACCGATCACTCGTGAAACGATTTCGCACACGAAGTCGCTAATAATTAGCCACTAGATGTTCCTCGCTGGATCGTTTCAGACGTACAAAACGAAAGGACGATGGTCTTGTTTCACTTACCCTGCCATCACGACTTGTTCCGTTTCGGTACACAACGACACGCGCGGTCTTTTCTTCCGCACGATGTTCGCTTTCCATTGATAAAATGTTAAGAGTAATGAAATCTTTTCACTCAATTTACAAGCGACATAACGGTTGCGATCGAATCGGGGTAGCAAGTACGAGCACTTTGCAAAATAAGCAGAAGTTCTGTCTGCAAGCGCAGCGACGATAGCGGCGACTGGAAACGGCTGCGTATCGGATTGTCTTGGATGCGTCAATACTGTTAACAGTTGTTTGCTCAAGCTCAAAAATTCCGTGTTAATTCTTTTGTAATGCTGTTACGTAGGAAATGCCTAAATAAAAAACTCGCATCGCTTGTTCATAAAAACAAAAGTAGTTAAGCAAGACGGGCAGGACGTAAACATAGTTCCCATGTGATCGAGTACGTAAACAAATCGCAGCCAACATGGCAGCGCCGACAGATGCTCGCGCACCGTTAGTTGCCCCAGAAAAACAGGTAATGTGTTTAGCCATAGATTGATATAGTTTCTAAAATGACACAACAAAAGTCAGTTGAGATTCCTCAACAATATGAAGCTGGTGTCGTCGCCATGTGCGATTAAAATTGGTTACGTAGGAGCGCTAACTTTCACTTGCTATTTGGTTTCAGGATTCTACGGTTCTTGATTTCACCGATGTTGCTTCCCCAGGTTTGTAATATATATGCAGCAAGCTCTACCTACGTGCTTGATGTAAACTTATCCGTTACGTTTTTACAGACTTCCACAATGAGAAGTTCTATTCAGCGGAAAAACCTGCTCCAACTCAGCCGAGCCAAGACGTGTTTTCGGCTATGCCCTCCATGGTGAGTTCGCCTTGAAAACTCTTTCGAGCCGTGTTTGAGCGCGCTGCTCTATGTCGTCCCTGAGCTCTGACTCGGTGTGGCTGAGATTATACATGGAATGACAAAGTGCGAGGCAAATTTTTTTTCTTCAAATCGTCGATTGATTTTCTCTCTCAAACTTCCGCAGCTCCTGTGGCAGGCTGGAAAGCAGCAGGCGCAAAACGCTTTCAGCATCTATGCCAACATAGATCTGCTGAGGCCGTACTTTCACGTCGAGCCGCAGGAGGTTCGGGCCAGGTGAGATACGAACATCTTCCGAATGACGTTTCATTGGCAGCTATGAACCTACGCGGTTTTATTGATGCTTCAATTTGTGCGCGCACGAAGTTCCTAATCATATACTACATGATTGACACATCTCGGGATCACCCGCGACTCAGGGCTAACCAGTGAGAAAGTTTAGAATGACAAAGCGGAGCTAATTGGCAGGAATTAAAGAATGCAAAACAACACAAATGTATTTGCGTGACTGAAATTTTTAACTAGCTGCACGTTTGTGCTGATGTTTATTTCTCGAAACAATTATGTTTGATTGAACAATGGTGTTATATAGACTGGCAGATCTCACATTAAGTTTGTGCAAAATGTTGAAGGTAGTGTGTTTGAAAAGAAGTAATCAACATGTCATATTAGAATAGTTGTTCAGAAAGAGTTCAACAAGTAATTTACAATGTCTGGTAGTTTGAATGGGGCTCTTAGTCTCAAACTCCATTTTCCTCGGTCATTTCCAGAATCTTGGAGTCTTTCCTTCCTCGCTGGCCATCACACTACGCACCACTGGTAAAATATAGAGCATTCATTGTCCCCCAGTATTTGACTTCAAATGTTGTGGTCTTCTTTCCTTAGGATATTTTCTTATGTACTTTCTTGTTGCAGTTGATTCCGGCTGAGCTTTATGGACCTCTGATGCTGGTTTTGACATTGATAACGTTGCTTCTCTTTGGAATGAAGACATCTGGTCATACTGTAGTAAGTAGAGTAGCCTGTCACAGAAAACAACTTTATTGTACTTGCTTCGCCATCTTCCTCATGTGAAACACACTGTTGAGGCAACTCGCTCAGACTGAGGCTGAGTAAGTCCATTGAAGGGAAATTCTGGCGAATCCCAGTCAGAGTGAGCCCCGAGTCTAAAATATATTGAGTGAGCTCCTCATTTTTTGCTGATCTACAGTCCTCTCACTCATCTTTCAGCACTACTATCAGCCTTATGTCGGCCCACATTCATATTCCTGTCTACTTACATGTACTTCTATACACAAGTGTTCATGTGCTAGCTCACTAACGGATCCCCTTTTCCCCGTTACCACGGGAAGTTCTTGATAAAAATATCAGGTTTGAGGTCATTCATCCCAATAAAAATGGCCTCACTGGAGTGTAACCACTGATAACTTGTACTTGAAGGTACGATATCTAAGGATGCCAAATAGGGCATCGATTATGAGAGGTATTGGTGTAAACAAGCATGGGCTCTAAGATGAAAAAAAGTCGCAGCATATCTACGGAGTGAATGATGACGAGTGGGGCGAAGCTTGGAAAAGTTTTATTGGTAAACCGTGAATCATCCGCTGGCCACGTCCGTCCATCTGTCTGTCCGTCTGCCTAGCGAACACTCCAAGTACTGCCATCTCACATTTTTCCATCATATATTCATCATATACAAGTACCGCCATCCAGCAGACATTCCAGGGACTAAAATGAGAGGTGGCTACTACATACAGGAGACGCACGACCCACACCTTAAGGAGCTTCGACCCTAAAAAGCTATTTGTACGCTAACAAACTCACTGCGACTGAGATCGAGCCGTGATTCTTAGTTTGAGTAAGTTGAAGTGAGTAATCTCTTCGTGAGTTTGAGTCAGGATGAGAAACATTTTAGTGAATCCTAGTACAAGTGAATTCAGTGGAGCAACATTTTAGCAAGTCCGAGTCCTAATATGCCTTAAACGCAAACTTATTTCATGAGTTAGTCTGAGTCAGCTCCACATTTGTTGCCGACCTATGCAGCTAGCTACTATTGCCGTTTCTTATTGCCTAACTTGGTGGAAAAACTTCATGTAGTCAAACACCATAGGCGTACCAGCCAGAGGGGGGCAAGAGGGGCGCAAGCTTCCCCCACTTTCGACAGTGGTCACTCTTGGCTGCACGCTGTGGAAACGAACAAGTAAGGTGTAGTTGTCCATCACAACAGTAATTACTCAATTATGTTTTTATGGGAGAGTGAAATTGCTACGAGGCAATGTTACAAAATAGTGAAATTTCGATATATATATATATATATATATATATGTAGATTGTTACTATCCCTCAAGAGGAAGGTATATAACAGCTGTATCTTGCCGGTACTTAGCTACGGAGCAGAAACCTGGAGACTTACATAGAGTGTTCAGCTTTAATTGCGGGTGACGCAGCGAGCAATGGAAAGAAAAATGGTAGGTGTAACCTTAAGAGACAAGAAGAGAGCAGAGTGGATTAGGGAACAAACGGGAGTTAAGGATATCATAGCTGAAATCAAGAAGAAGAAATGGACATGGGCCGGGCATGTAGCGCGTAGACAGGATAACCGCTGGTCGTTAAGGTTAACTAACTGGATTCCCAGAGAAGGCAAGCAGGTTAGGGGGAGACAGAAGGTTAGGTGGGCAGATGAGATTAAGAAGTTTGCGGGTATAAATTGGCAACAGCAAGCACAGGACCGGGTTAACTGGCGGAACATGGGAGAGGCCTTTGTCCTGCAGTGGCTCTTTGGAATGGTGAAAAACAAAAAGATTACCAATGATGAATGCATTCTTCTGTGCAACATCATCACCTACTGCACTGCTTCCTTCTGAAGGATTCTCATCTCGTAGGTTGACCTGCGTACTCTCATTTCGGAAAAACAGGCGAGAGGACATTTGCATGAATAATGTGCACGGTTCTTTAAATTTTTCTTTTGTATTACTTGATACCACAATTGCCCCTGAAAAAATCAAGGTAAACCACCAGAACAAGTTTATCAGCATACGCAAGGTATTGTGAAAATTACAGAAGGGATGTTATCAAGTAATTGTAGCGGTATTTACTTACTATTAGCAGAAAGACAGTGATGCCAACATATTTAATAAATTACAATTTTTAAAAAGTTTAAATGTCAGTAAAGTTGAGTAAGGATGAAATGCCGATAAGTACATAATCTCTTTAATGTTGCACTACTGAAAGTAGTATCTTAAGGAGAGACATGGTGGCTCTATAAAAATATGGTTATTTGAATGATCCGTTGGTTGTTTTAGTGGGGAGAAATAGAAATTCCTGTTTTCTGAGCAAGTTGTGCAGCTGGTTTTTCTTTTTTTTTTTTCCAGAAAGAAGGCACCCTTATGGGAACTGCATTCGGTGTAAGCTTCGGCTACTGGCTCGGAGGCTCGGCACTAGTCCGTGCTGCTGGTTACATCAGCAGCACACAGCTGTCCTTCTTCCAGGTTCTATCGCTGATGGTGAGTCGTCAGAGCTGTAGGTCACATAAACAAAAGGCATGAAGGCAAACCTGGTTGCATTGAATCTGTGTTCAGCAAACTGTGCTTTATGCGCCAGTTTTTGGACGCACTCATCTTGTACTGATAACGTTGCTGTTCTGTATCCGTATCAAATTAATAAGCAGTACGACTGTGAACTCATACCCACGAAAAAGCTTAGGCCGGTGCATTCAGTGTTTCGTGACCACGATCATTTCACATTATCACAAAGAAACCCTGCAAAACAATTGCTTATCAGTCCAAGATTGCGTAGCCCATGAGTTGAAAATAATATTGTGTATAATAAATGTGCAAGATATTTATCTTAAACAAATATCTCAAAATGAACTAGGCATTTAACTTCTAGTGTTTAGAGCTTCTTGGTTTAGAGCCTGTGACTTGAAACATTCCATGCCAGCATTTTATTTTTCGTGTATTTCCAGCCGTTTCTTTTTTCTTTTCGGTCTAATGTGACTGAAAAAGTCTTACAACGTGTTTGTACTTAAACAGTTATTGTGCGCTGCACTGACGTAACTGGAAAGAGGTAAAGATCACCCTAGATATTTGCATAAGCTACAAGTAGTGAGGTGCGAGTTGTTTCCAAGGGGCGTTTCAGCATCATTAAGCAGATTTGTTCTACCATATATACGCAACAAAATTCTCATAACTTTTTTTGAATGAAGAAGCAGTGCTGAAATAGGACAAAGACGAGAAGGACACAAATACAGTGCTGGGTCAGCACTGTATTTGTGCTGACTCAGCACTCGTCCTATTCTAGTGCTGTTTCTTCCTTCAGAATCGGCTTGTGCGAACCAGCCTAATTCAAGACGTTTATCGTAACTATTCGAAAAAGGTTATTCTGCTTGGGTTCAGTTACATATTGAATAATGTGATACTGCATCCAATTGTTTTTAACTAATGAGCCAGTTTGTTCTAACCAGATTTGACTGTAGTCATTAGGAATGAAGTTTGCTCAATCATTTAGTGCTGTTTTCTGCTTTTCATCATGAATCAACCTGCCAAAATGTATGTCCTGCTGCAGATTAAAAATAATGACCAAAAAGACAACTGCGGCATTTTCATTCTGTCTTCTGCCGGCTGTTTTGACTTGAGTATCATGAAAATTTTTGGTAGTGTGGAATTTCCGGTATCTCAAAAAGTTGTGTATTTGTTTTGTGTTAGGAGTAACTAAGGTATATTGCTTTATTTACTTTCTTTCGGTAATTGAAACCAGCATTTCTGCAACTCTGTGGGAATGGAATAACAGAAGCAGGCTCTTAATGATTTTTGCCTGATTGACTGATTTTGTCCTGTCGCTCTGGACATAGTTGAAAAATGTAATAACTCCCTCCTTGCCATAATGAGAAAACTTCTAAAATAACTCAGAGACACTTAACAGATAGTCCGTTACTGTGCTCCAGAGTATACGTATTAGTAAAAGCAATCTCGTATTTTTTCAGTGTTTCAGCTTGCTCTTGATTACTTGTTTATTGATTGCATGCATTCATTGTATAAAATGAAGATTTGTGTTGTGGTAAGACATCATCGCATTGTTTGTTTTCTGATGAAAAGTGATAGACATGAAACTAAGGAAAATAGAGAATGCATTGAAGGACGATTGTTTGATTGCAACTAATTCTGTGGGCTTGGTATATCAGTGGTGCTTTCTGAATGGTTAATTTCTAGGGCTACGGACTATCTGGCCATTGCTTGGCTCTGCTGCTAGGGAACACGTTCCATCCTGCGCACTCCCACCTCTTTTTCTACGTTGTGTGGTTGCTGCTTGGTGGTTCTACCGCAGTCAAGCTGGTATGCCTTCTATTCTACTAGTGAGATAACTGTGATTGTCATCTTCATAATTTAAAGGCACCCTAAAAATGCTTTGACAAGTCTATAAAGATTCATTGAATGTTAGAACAGGTCTTTCGGATCATCCATGGACCTATTAATACACTTTGCTCAATATGTGTATTTTGTTATGAGGTTTCTAAACATGGGTGCATCGCAGCAGATTATAGTGGCACTGCAAAATTTTATTTGCTGCAGATTACAGTGGAACTGCAAAATTTTAAGCCACCCTGTTTTAGAACATGGCATGGTTTCATGACAATGCTTCTGCAATTGATTTGATTGGCTGCTAAGCATTTGTGTTGCAAGTGAAAACATGAATGTCCAGGTTTGTGATGTGTAGATCAAACTGACAAACTTAGAGGATTTCTTCAATCTTAAAGGAGCCATTGGACCATCACTTAAGTAGAAGTTCAGCTCCACTTGACAAAGTAGTTGAAGAAGAAACTATGGCTTGGGAAGAGGGTAATTCTCGTTACTTATAGTTCCCTTAAATCAAAATGATTCACTTAAATTGCGGTGGAATAATTTATTCTACTTATGGCCTAACAGCTTACCTAACTTTTAAAAAAACTATTTCAGGGACCATTTGAGCTCACCGCAAAATAAACATCGCCAAAAGATACAAACTTCCTGCTAGATTTCAATAATTGAAATCTCTGGGGTATGCTAAAGAGCATTTGGGCTTAAATGTGTAAAACACATAATCCTTGCAACATACTGAAACAAGCAGCAATAGAATGCATGCAAATGATGTTATGTTCATGGAAGAGGCAGACAATGTCAGGAAAAATGCATGCTTTACTCTTACAGATCATCAGTTCTTCAACTAAAGCTTTCTTTGACTCTGCGTGTTGTACAGTGTGGATAGATGCTGTTGATAATTCGAATATTTTCTTGGTATATCTCTTCATTCTTACACAGTATGTAAACACAAATCAGATGTTATGCGTCTTGCTTTTTTGTTGGCTTACTTATGTTATTCGTAAAGATGCTTTTTTACATTGCATGTTCCTCTATCTAGTTCTTCAGTATGTGCTTTTAGCAAAACCTGATGTTCTTTTTGCTATGGAGGTGCACTTCTATTATCCAGTAGGTCTCTGAAATTTCGTGTGAACGCGTGGACATCATTGTTATGCGGATGTCGACAACCTTTTTTTTTTGTTTTGCAATGGTTGTGCCTGAGATAGCAAACTTGTGTACTTGTAGCTTTGGTCGGCGAGATGCGGTGCCCTCTTCTTTTTTTTTTCCAGATATCGGTCTTTTCGGCCAAGACCGCAAGTGCATCGCACAAAACTGTAGCAGCAGGAACTGCCGGTGCACTCCATCTTCTCGCTCTACTCTACTTTCATTTCGCATATCACAGGACTGTTGAAGGTAAGGAAACAATGTGTTGCGCGATTAGGCAGAAGCTTCGGCATCTACAGTGTTGGTCAAAAGTTTGCAGGTCATGCTTCCATAGAAATACACTGAAACCTCGATGTAACAGACCTGTATATAACAAAATATTGGTTATAACGAAGTAAATCAAAAGTGGTCTTACAATAGACATACTGTTAGGAATATACCTTATAACATTTTTTTGGATATAAGAAACTTATTTTCATGCAGTATGCAACTTTGTAATAACGAGGTTTGAGTGTACACAGAGCAGTGGCCTGGGAATTTTTGACCTGTCCCCCACAAGCACCCTGTCTTGTCTTGAAGGGTTACTGACACAAGTTTTTGAAGTAGAGTTTATTTCGTCATAGAAATTTTCTGTATGCAGAGGCCACTCTGATCAAGTATTAAGCTCAGTAAATGTCGATATTTTATTTTGATATTGCAATGAATTTTCGCATAGCGCACATGCTGAAATCGGCACTAGCATGACGCCAGGCTACATACAATGTCAATTCTGATGGTCTCATGCACTGCTCACCAAGCGTCTTTTCATGCAGGAACAGCGCTTTTGGTATTGCAAAGGAGCAGTTTAATAATATGGCAAAAGCCATTCTTTTCTTGAGTATATTTTTATGGGATTTTTGAAAAATGTTTTAGGGTACTTCTTGTGTCTTTTGTGACTAGTACCAGTTCTTGTGGAGCCTTTCAATATGTGTTTTTATTGTTTCTATTGCAGTGCTCGAGAATATTTGAAGGATGCTGCTTGGAACAACACTTAAAGAGATTTTTTTCGGATGCTCGTTTAATATACAGACTCATGATTATATCAACCTGTCTTGTTGTGTATGTGTTTGTTGGGCCAGTATGTGTGTCTAACATAGCGAGAACTCTATTTACGTATTAGGTTACAACCTAAGAATAAATACAAGCCCTGCCTCCCAGAACTCTGCAGAACGGTGTTGTGCTTGTTGTTTCTATTCTATAATTATAAGGACTTTTTTGCTGTTACTGGAAATAGTGCTATGCATATTATGAAATTAAAATTCATTGACTTTTGTTAACATTTTATATTTGGCACAGTATAAAGCTTGGAATATTTGCTGAAATTTGCCAGGAAAGTCAAGTTTGTGTGGATGAAAAACTAGTGACAAAAAGATAGTCTGGTATGAGAAAGTCGCCTGCTTGAAATACAGTGCTGGATGTCGTGTAAATAAGTAATTGCAGTTCGAAGAGGTATTTTGCGAATGCTCTCTAGGGGGCAGACAGTGATGGACGGCTTGCATTTATTCTTGGTTTGTAGGAGACATCAGTTTCATCTTGCAAGTAGTCCTTGCTTTAGTGGCCTGCTTACGACTTTCACCCTTCATGGCTTGGGTGTGGAAGTACAGTGTGTGAAGCTGCAAAGTGTCACTTTTTGAAGAATCAATCCAAATGACTCTTGGTTCGCGATAACTCTGTTTTCATAAGCAGCTCTTTATTGATGGAAGTTGATGGTTAGATTGTGAGGCTGAACTCAAGAAATCTTAACCCTGCGATGCGCACACATTGCCCTGCATCAAGAAAACTGATGGACGGGCCATGTTTGCATCCGCGTGGCTCGTCCTTGCTGTAGTGCTGCTTCTTCGTTCAAAATTTCTCACCGGTCTTGATGAGTACTCTTGTAAAAGGGATGCAGTGAAGTGTTGTTTGAGATCGTATTGAGTTCTTATCGATATAATTTAATTAGTCATTAGTCTCTTGAATAGTTAAATGATTAAATTTTATTATAGTATATTGAATGTACAGCTTTGAGTTCTGCATTGAGCTTTTCGTGCATAAACCATTTTAAAACTTACGAGTGCACTTGAGGGGAGAGCAACCGCCCCCTAAACATCTAAGGAGAGAGGGGAGGGGGGCTTGGGCCATATAGTAATATTATGCAATTTCACCATAAACCATTTATTGCAAGATTAGAGGTGGTAAAACGACAACAGTTTTGTCACATGGTCAAAACAAACATTGTGATAGCAACAGATTAGAATGTTACACGATGAACTGGAAGCAACTCGACACTTGCAGCACTCTGCTCAAGTGCAAAGGGCGTATGAAAAGCACACACACTGGACAAGCACAAACTAACAGTTGTCACAGCTCGACACTTGCACCATGTTTCTCAAACACTAAGATGAGTGCTCGAAAAGAACACTCAGATATGCACAGAACTAGCCCGAACAAGAAACTATCAGAGTTGTTGCTTATTTGCATTCGGTGAGCGTGCTTCAAGTGTCGACTGTGTTAGCGCCTGCTTGTTGAACACTGGAGTGTGTGGTGTGACCCCTCCAGGCACCTTGCTGCGTGGGGACATTCGAAGTGTTGTTTGCACAGCGTTCCGGATTGCGAACGGGTACTTAAATGGGCCACTTTTTAGTGTGTGTATTAAGAGCAGTTCAAACAAATGTAAGAACGCAGCTTTATAGGACACTAAAAGCAAGTGTCATGTCGATGTTGATTGCTGAAATAGTGGTCCAGAAACCTAGTTGTGCTACTTCGTGCCAAGGAAGTGCTTGTTTCGAAATAGAATCAGGTTTTAGTGGTCTGCATCGCGTCAGCACCCTTCAAATCTCCCCGCCTGAAAGTGGCCGTCTCACGTCACTGTTGCCGTGCATAATGTTGCCCAGCTTTACTGCGTGGCCGTTGACACTAGTAGCATCAGAGCGAAAGTAGCGGGAGCCATAGCAGCAACAACGGCCATTAAACGATTTCTTTACATGGCCTTCAAGATGGCAGGCGTGCTTGGTTCAACGGGGCCCCGCTAGATGGCACTTGTCCAGTTTAACCAGGCGAAAATTGAACTTTCGAACCACTCACGTCTTTCTCCATAGTAAGGTCTGGCAGTTCTTTTTTCCTCGAATCAAACAAATGAACAAGTAGCATTTTATTATGTCTTTTTATGCATGAAAGGTTCTTTATTTAGTGTAACTAGTTCGATTACTTGTGATTAATTGTAGGCGGCAAGTCTGATGTCATCGGGATCGTTTTGTGAATGTTCCACTCGAATGTCCTAAGCTAGCAAGCCTTCATGTCCATGCCTCCGTGCCTCTCTTTTAAAGCACGCCCTTCACACCATCTCGTGGGTGATACTGAACACGCCAAAGCGGCTCCAAGATCTGCGTACAGCCAGTGTAAATGATGCATACAAATCGCTCGCTGCAAGTATGTCGAAGAGCGCATGACATGTCACAGAGCTGTTCTTTAAGCCATTCAGAGTTTTCCTTAAAAATTATAATAGGTAGACACGTGTCGTTTTTGCTGCCAAGCCAATTTCTAGGATGATGCGGAAAGATTTTGTCACTAGTTAGATCACATAAAAATGATTATTTGATAAAAATAAAGTCAACTTCTTAATTATCAATCTTTAGGGTGGTTGTTAATGTGGCGAATTTGTTTCAAGTAAGAAATTATGGAAATCTAATTTTTTTTTTTTTGTGGCCTCCAAATTGGGTGGGCGGCCTTCTGCTGCTTGATGCGCCATTTCACTTGCATCCTCCGAGGAAGGCTGGGCCACCAGCGGATATTGTATGGGGAAAATAAATATTTGTTGTTTTACAGGGAAAGCAGTTCTGAGATCACTACACGGGCCGAATGCGCGCCGTAATTCGCTACTGCCGGCGTCCGTAACCATTATTGCACGAGAAAAAAAAAACTCCGTAAATAAAAAACAGACACAGTGATATTCCAACCCGGCTCTTCCACAGATCAGCCCAGTATTCTATCACTTAACCACACCGTTTTTTTTCTTTATTTGCTTGGAACTCCTTAGTAAACTGGTTTTAGGCAGGCTTGATGTCGGGAAAGGGATTGTGTTATTATGAGTAATAAAGCGTTTTAGAACAGCAACGGAACAACCAGGTGTTGCATAATTCAAATTGCGCAATCAGTGGGCTGTCAAATGCTACAAAAGCTTGATCTTGTTCACTTATTAATTATGGCGTGTACCCACTGTGGGGGATTGTGGGTATCCCCAGAAGGCTGCATAATTTTTCATCGTCGGCAGCCACATCACAAAAAAAGTTGCCCAGAGTTTCTTGGAAATATGCAGCGAGTACTACGTTTCTCCAAAGAATTATAAAGGATGGCATAGGGAACGCCTGCCTACTGTACAATGATTTATGGCGTAGTGGGTACCCTGCAAGTGTGTTTGCAGCAGCGAAGAGACGCAACTTAGCGGTTGCCTTAATTTTATTTCCAACGGTCGAAACCGTTGGAAATAAAATTAAGGCAACCGCTGTTTTGTCTCTACTCTTCCCAAGTACGTTTAGCCCATCGGAAAAACTTCTCCTGTATATATATATATATATATATATAGATAGATAGATATATCTTCGGTTGCCGCAAGGTTATAAATATGAAAGTAGATGCGCTTTCACATAACAACTGTTTATTGTGCCGACGTTTTGACGGGAACCCCGCCTTGAAAAAGACGGGGTTCCTGTCGAAACGTCGGCACAATAAACAGTTGTTATGTGAAAGCGCATCTACTTTCATATTTATATATATATATATATATGCCTGCTCTCGGCTGGTTATTTTTTCGCCCACTTTTCTGTCTTCTTATTTACATTCCATTTGTTCTAATAACTTCCCCTATACATTCCTTGGCATTATTGTCTGTTAGATCTCATATATATATATATATATATATATATATATATATATATATATATATATATGATTGAAAAAAGAAATTGTGTGGGTCCGGTGCAAATATATTTAAGAATAAAGGAGCACACTTACGAAAATTTGATAATTGTTTACTCTACGTTTCGTCAGGATTCAGTTCGTCAATTCTTAAATATATATATATAAGGGAAAGAAGTGTATATCTAAGGGCTCATTTTTTCGTGTTTTGACACAATATTAATGAGATCTAACAGACAATAATGCCAAGGAATGTATGCGTATGTGTGTGCGTGCGTGTGTGTGTGTGTGTATGTGTGTGTGGGACATAACGGCGACAGCAAGAATTCTCCGAGTGTGTCCATGTAATATATATCGCAATACACGCGGTTACACGCCGCACATAGAACACTATGCCACAAAGTTGAATGCTTGAGGTCATGTCGCTTTCTCAACATTGTTGTCTTCCTTCGCTAGCCACTTCAGAACCCGTGCTTCTCATAGAGGTGCTAGCGCTGTGCCAACATATTGCAGTTTCTAGTTCTACAATTTCTTCTTGTATACCCTGCCGCCGCAGATGCTCTACGTTTTTCATATTGTGGCCTAGACAACGCATTCACAGATCAAAAGCAAGTGATCATCGGTGTGGCCGGAGGAAGCTTGGCAGCTCATTATCCGCCTCTGTGTCCCCAATATGCACATGCACGATGACATACAAACAAATATACTCTCGAACAATCATAAATTGTGTTGTAAATAGTGGATTCGTCTGGTGCGAATCTACGCTTCTTCCAGACAATCGAACATGTATTAAGGAGACTATTTCCATTACGTGAAATTCATGCTGTTTTTTTCCAAAGAAGTTTCAAGTGATAGCGGGGCTGTGTGGTGCAACATCTGCTTACCTCGTAGTTTTACTCTAAACGTTACATTCACATTTCAATGGGACATTTAATTTTTTTTGCATGTTTCTCGATTTGTCGGTTATAGACAAGATGATTTTTTGCAATCAACAAATGACGCCGACACCGGAATTTCGGCAAAACTATCTAATGATATCGCGTTTAAAAGACATGAATTTAAGAAATTACTGAATTGATATATACTCTCAGTCGATATTTTGCGTGAAATAACGTTAAATCACTGCCGGCTAAAACTTAAAAATTAAGCACAGAGACGCCCTACA